CCATTTTTCAAGACTTGTGATGTGTGATTGAAGAGTTTGGGATGCAACAGATGGATCGTTATTAACTGATAGGATACACGTGTCATCGGCATAGGTGGTGATGACAGTGTTGCATTGGGATGCCAGACTCTATCAAACGCCTGTTCAACGTCGAGAAAGACTCCCGTGCTGTATATTCCGCGCTCCAATGCAGAGGAGACTACATCTACCACACGATGGCATTGCTGAATAGTTGAGTGGGATTTGCGGAATCCAAATTGGTGATCTGAGATAATGTGTTTAGAGTCTAGGATGGGATACAGGTGTTTTAATATAAGCTTTTCCAGGATTTTGCCCATAATGGGTAAAAGAGAGATAGGACGGTAAGAGGATGGGTGTTCTGGCGGCTTTATAGGTTTAGGTATCATTTTGACAATGGATAGTTTCCAAGAGTCAGGAAAATATGTGGTTCGGAGTACAGCATTATATATATATAGGTTAGGAACAGTATGGCTTTTTTAGGAAGAAATTTTAGGATCTGGGATGTGATTAGGTCATGGCCAGGAGCATCCCGGGAAGGTAATCTATGAATGATATTGGATATTTCTGAAGGATGAAGTGCGTTAGGTGGAGAAGTCAATTTGAGTGGGATATCCAATTCTGCTTCAATAAACTCAAGGTGGGTTGGATTAAGGATATCTGGGTGTGGATTAAATGTTTTGAGAGGTGCTGAGCAAATATTTGAGATTTTCCTTCGTCAGATCTGGACCAGGTTTGGGTTTCAGTAATAAGTGGGTGGTTAAAATCTTTGAATTTAAGGAGCTTTTTTAGTGGTCAACCATAGTGATTTGTCAGAAGTTTTAAGTTTTTAGTAGTAAGTTTTTCTGTCATGTTAAGTAAATTTTGAACTTTGTATTTTCTAATTTCAGCTTTTAGTTGGTTAGTTAATTTGTTGTAATATGTCTTATCTGATGGGTATCTAGTCCTGTACCACTTTGATCTTGCTCTGCGTTTTTCCCTTAATAAGATACGAATATGCTGCGGTAAATTTGTCTGTTGGGAGTGGTCAGTTTTATTGGTAGATGTATTATCGTTTATTTTGTCACTTATAGATGTAGTAAGTACTTCTATGGCTGTGTCAATGTCATGTTTCGTCTTAAGTGGAATATTTAGGTCCAATTTATTTTCCAAGTCTTTACGAAATTTGTCCCAGTTTACTCGTCCTGTAATCAGCGTTGGTTGTAACGAGGGCTTAGGAGCGAAGGTTGTGTGTAATGAAAGCAAAACTGGAGAATGATCTGAGGAAAGGTCATCCAAGGATTTGATTGTGATATGGGAAGAGGAAATTTGGGAGATGACAAATATGTCCAGGATATCAAGGCGTTTTTTGAGGGATGTTGGCCAAGGTAGGATTCATAGGAGGGAGGACAGAGTAACTATTGGAAGTTGAGACAGAAGATAGTATGTTACCACGGGAGTTGGATGATCGACAACCCCATCGTTGGTGTTTAGCATTGTAGTCCCATCCAGCAATAAAGCGCGATCCGAAGGATTGAAATAAGGATTCAAGTAAGATGTAGTAAGAGTATGACCAGGAGGACAGTATACAGCTGAGAATGTTAAATGGAAAGGACGAGTTGAAATTATTACTGATGTTGCTTGAATAGCCTCAGTGTGAGTAGAAGGAATGAAAGAATGGGATAAGGATTTATAGACAAGAATACAAGAACCGGCATTTGAAATGTTGTCGGGGTGGTCTGATCTATAAGTGATATAGTCACGTATATAGAAATATGAACGTCGAGGGAAGTGAGTTTCTGTCGGCAGAGCAATATCATGTGGTAGTCATGAAGAAAAATATCGAGTTTCTCTCGGTGGTTGTGTAGTCCGTTAGCATTCCATAAAAGAACAGCTAGAGGCTTTGTGTTCATCGTGAGAGATTGAAGGGAATTTAGGTAAGAATTCTTGTGAGGAGGGTGATTAGTGGCTTGATACTCTCTTGGAGATCTTTCAGGAAGGACGCAAGGGTGGAGTTTATTAAATCATCTGGTCCGTGAGGGTAAGCTCTTATGATAAGGAGTGTCTGATGAAGGATTTACCCTTGGAACTTGGGAAGGAGAGTAAATATGAGCAGTAGGATGGGAATAAACAGGAGTTGGATGTTCAGGCGGTAATTTTACACGTACAGATATCTGATGAGGAGGCATTTGCTGACGTGGAGATTTTGAATGAATTTGGGAGATGTGAGTCTTGGATTGGGAGGTCTGGATCTTAGGTTTGGAAATCTGAGACGTCTGACGTCGCGGCTGTTGATTCTTCACCGTGGTATATGAATATAGTTGCCTAGAGTCTTGATGGGGATGATCTGTTGATGTGTCAATTGGGTTATGTGTCAATTGTGGCATTATTTCGTTTGGCAGTTGAGGAAACGCTGCCAAATTCAGAAGTTCAGGTGCCTGTACCTGGGTAGGATTCTTCTGTTCTTCTTTTTTTAATAATATATTAAAGTTCTTTGCTTATATAGCTTCTTATAGATAATGCAGCCCCGATAGGTTGCAGGGTGGTCCTCACCACAAAGGGCACATTTTGGTGGTTCATTTAACCGTTTCTGGCAGATGTTAGAGGCGTGAGGCCCGGCGCATTTAACGCAACGCCCCGAGTGATGGCATTAAGCCTTTGTATGCCCTGAGTTTTGACACTTGGTGCATTGCACGACAATAGGTTTCTGCTTCGGCTCTTCAAATTTTACAATAGAATACAGCAGTCTTTTAACATCGAAGATTTCGAAACTATTCCGGGCTGGTTCTAAATAGATGAAAAATAATGGCAGTGGGTATTTATCAATTGGAAGTAAAACAGAAGATATATGTCTTCCAGATCTTTTTTTATAGCGGTAGTGGGTGTGGTGGAGTGAAGACCTCTCAAAACCACCCTATATGTTTTGTCTTCTTTTAGTTGATAGCAGTGCTGTCAAGTGATTAATAAGTTTTTTATAATCATCTTTAGTATTGGAGTTAATCTTTATGTCGTTGAAGCGAGAAAAACACCGAAAGTTGGTCGGTCCCATCAGATTAGCTATTTCTTGACCGAACTGAATGAAATTGTCAATCTTGCTTACATATATCGGAGGTGGCTCTGGTTCAGTGAAAGTTCTAGGTTCAGTGATTTCGTTACTTTTATTATTGGCTGCAACAGAATTGTTGTTGCTGGATGTGTTAGTAGGTGGTTTAGTGTCAGGTTTCATAGCTGAATTATTTCTATTGCTAGATTTTGATTGTTTATTTACTTTGAGTGATTGCTTTGTTTTAGCGGATTTTTTTTTTTTTTGTACTAGGTGAGTTGCCCGCCGAACCGAAGGCAGAGTTTCTATGGCGCTTTTGGAGAATTCACCTTGTTAAATATTGAGAATCCGTCTCACTGATTTCGGAGAAAGGAGTCTCTTCATCTGATCCGTCAAAAGAAATGTTCTTATCAGATTCCATACCTCTAAATAATAATATATAAAAAAAGAAAAGAAAACAAAAAGTACACTAATAAGAAAATTTACAAAACAAATACTTAATAACTAATCTATTTACAAATCTATATATAAATATTTAAAAAAACATTTTCTGTAAATAAATAAAATAGAGTCTCAGTAAAAAAAAAATTAAAATAAAATAATGAATTAAGAAATAAAAACAGAAAAAAATATACAGTGTCTTAGGTGCGAACTCAAGATATTCTGAACGTTAAATGAAGCGCCGTGACCGTGAACTTGAAAGATAAGACCCGTTGAGGGGAATTATTTGCCACGTAAACTGTCTCTAGCAATCGAGCACCAATTTAATGTTGCTAATTGTTAATAAAAAGTCACTCATCTCGCTGATTGTAATGTAAAAATGTTAAATTGTTTATAAACTCACTGTTTACAAAGTCTGAGAACAGGATTTGAGATAATAAGCACATAACAAACTAACAAATACGGAACGATACGAATACAGAACTTCAGTTTCGGCCATGATACTTGTGACTTAATAAAAATCAAAATTAACTTTTGATAATTATTGATTGTACGTTTCAGGGAATCCGTGTTCACCTCCTCTGCAATAATTTATTCTCCCAAAAAATATTGCTGAGAAGGGGGACCCAGATTCCCCGAAACTTACTATAAATATTTATCAGAAGTTAATTTTGATTTTTATTATACTGAACTGTGAGGCATAAACTTAAGTGTAACTAGACATTATAATATAAAGGTCTAACATTTTAAATACAATGGAAAAACTATTATCTAGTTTGGACATATTTATATTAATTTCAAGTAGCGAAAACTTCAGATTTAAGGAATCAAGAGAATGTTCCCTGTTGAATACTGGCGAGTCACAATAATACTAAAAGCATAATTGCTTTTGAATGGTTATAGTTTTTACATGAAACTTTTTTTTTAAATATACCAAGGACTCTATCTGGACAAATGTCTTACTTGGAATCCTCATACAAGATTGAAACTACAAGATGCTTCTAGACGTTCCCGACTACTTCAACACTTACTAGGCAAACGCTCTAAATTTCCGATTCATTATACAAGATTCATTTAAATTACTACAATAAGGGCCTATTTGGACTTATGGAGTTGAGCTTTGGTGCTTCACTAAGCCAAGAAATTCCTCTCATAGCCAATCCTTACAATCCAAACTCCTTCGCAAAATCCTCAACTTGACTATAATTGCATCACCTTTGCGTTATCAACTTAGTCAAATCCAAGTACCTATATTTCAGTAATAAACTTCAGAACCATCCAAACCTACTAGTTTTCTCCAGCATCCTCTTCGCTTCCTTACAATCCTTCAAGGATTCTGAAAAGAAGATGGCCCCAGGACCTATTGATATAATTGGAGTGCTACAGATAGGTAGTTTCTCTTCAAGGTTGTAAATGTCATATTACAAATTAACATACAACTTGTATTTTTAGTTAACACAGTTGTAAATTTCAATAATTAAAAACAAAGTATATTTAATTCCTTTTTTTTCTGTAACAGTTTTCAGATATATCTGTTAGATTGGCATCTCCGGAACGACTACAGCCAAAGCCCGAAGTAAAGGCTCTCCAGTTCGGGAAGCACTTCACCGATCATATGCTGAAGATCGAGTACCACGTCCGTGCTGGAGGATGGCAGGCGCCCATCGTTTGTCCCATGGAGTACATATCCTTGCATCCGGCCGCTAAAGTACTCCATTATGCTGTTGAGGTATATATTATTCCCAGCACTTAAATATTTGATTACTTTTTTATAGTACTTATTCTTGGGCGAATTTTTCCATAAGAATTATAATGTTGAACAATGAAATAGATTGAGTATATGAATTCATGTTTGAAAAGAGGCAATCAATTTATGGTATTGAATGATTCGAAAATTGAAAAATGTCTAGTTAATTTACGGAACAAAGTTTTTGAAAAGTATTCGATCATAGTCAGACCTAAAAAGAAATTATCAATCCCGGTTGGCAAGTAAAATTATTGAAATAAAAATAATACGAAGAAGAAATCACATATTGTCTCTGTTTGTAGGTACGGCATATTTACAATAAAATAAAGTATTTTATTATGTGACTGAAGATCTATAACACTCTAATCCTTAACATAAGAGTAAACAAGCGTTAATATTATAAATTAAACAAAAACTATGACTTTTGCATTTTTTTTTACTTTCACGTGGACAATAATTATAGTGATATATGAACACATTCACACCATATATAAAGAAAATATAAAATTATCAAAAGTAAAATAATTACTAAATAATAATCAAAAACTATGTATACTAAATAATAATATAACCTAAAGATAAGTAAATTAAAAACATTAAAAAATAGTCATACCTATATACACAGGCAGGGAACCCAAAGCCAGGCTTCTCCCTCCAATTATAGAAGAAAAAGCAGGATTCCTAGAGATCCTTGCGCTACTCTCTCAACCGCGTCACTGGTGCTTAAGCCAGTGAAGTTTGAGCGATAATTTGCATTTTATGTACACAATTTTACACTTTTTGAGTTTTTTATTAAAAGAAAATCCGGTCTCAAAATTATCATTATTCCTATCAGAACTATTCATGGCGAAAATGTCCATCAATACTGAAATAGAGACTGCGTCATGTAGTAATTCAATTCCAACTACAGCCTTGTCGTGTCCATAAAGCACGATAACAAAATAAAATTACCCGTCAAAGTTTCGCCAATTCATAGCCTTCCTCAGCTACATCACCTCAGCTTTCTTCCAGTATGCAATTGATTGTCATGGAGTGATGTGATCTTGGGTTCATTCTCTTTTATGTTCTGAAGATGCCTCAATTGGCATATCGTTGACGGGTAAATAAAAATTTTATATATGATAAACAACCTTCTTTAGGTTATTCATATCTTATTCGAGATTTTTAAATTATTGTAATATTTAATATATTTAAGATTATTTTTTGTAAAACCCTTATTTAATATTATTACTTACTTATTATTACAATATTTAAAAAACTATTTTCTTTTAACATTTCGGCTCGAAAATCCATTTTCAAAAATTCTTTTTCTTTAAAAAATAAAACAACAAAACAAAAATTTAGTCAACATTAAAATAACATTATTACAAATTTTTTACCCTTGAAATATATCCGTATATAGAATACTATTCTATGGTAGTACTTGTTTAATAACTTACAAACTGCTTTCTTTTTCTTTGTCTTCCGAAAATCCACAAATTTTCTCCTCCTTTTTTCACTTTATCAAAACTTGCTCCTTAATTTCTTTTCTTTCTAGTATCCTGATTGAATACTAGAATATTTAATTCTAGACTGAATACTAGAGTACAGTACAATAAATATTGTAATAATGCTTAAAAATTGTAAGTAAGGATGTGAGATTAAATAACGGTTTTATAAATAATAATCTAATATAGATTGAATATAATAATAAAAATGTTATGTCATCTTAAGTATTACTTCATTTTAATAGTTTAATAATATTAAGTTAAGTGAAGCTTATTTAATTTGTGTTTATCACCATTATTTATTTATGTACTTTTATTTAAAACATATTTATTGAGAGATATTACAATCTGTCACAATTAAGGACATTTATAATAGTGTTCAAAGAGCACATTCACACTCCATTCACAATAAATAATACAGAAAAATAATAATACTAAAAGTAAATGTATATAAACTAAACTAAACAAAAAGAAACTAAGCTAATGAAAATAACTACTCAAATACATACATGCTTCTATACAATATCTAAAAGAAAAAAAAATTCATTCACTCAAGATCTCCGAGCCAAGCCTTTCTCTCCACTCGGAAGGAAAGGCAGAACTCTAGGAGATCCCAGAGCCCCTCACTCAGCCGTGCTAGTGGTATTAAAGACCACTAGAGGCTGTGCAGAGGCGCTATAATCACACATACATGGCTTGAGTGGAGAATTTGGTCATTGCCCAAACTCCCATATATACTTATTAACAAAAGGTCTCTGGGCCACTGCCGCTACAACCTTCGAGGAGGATTGTAGGGATGGGTTGTGCTGGATAGGGATTGTGCAAGGGGATTTGGATGATAGGTAAGGTTCTGGTGAAATTTGGAGAATGTAACCAACAAAATCCTACACCATGACATCTTAATATCCCATTTTCCTAGACCTTATCCCAGAAAATTTATTTATGTATAATTTAATTATTATCACCAGGAATATTCTAATATCAAACTAATCAATACGTTGGATAAAATATCTTGACCTTTTTTTCATTGTTTAAACCAAAGATTTCTCAATCGTTATGTCAACAACTAGGCTTAAATGGGAAATTGAAAAAAAAAAATTAAAAGTCAAACATTTACCTTAGAGAGAGAGGCCACCTTTAAAGGACTGGGAAACCACAATACCAATAGACTCCTTTGGTTCGGTTAGTTTAGTCCAGGATTTAGTTTCAGGAATTCGAATGTTTATAAACTCAACTCCAAAAAAAAGTGTAAACCTTCCGCTATTGCATTTAATTTTGTACACTCAAGATATCCAATCGGGACTTATATTATTATTTTTTCTGACCATTGCGAGTAAACCAAGGATTTGATTAATTTTAATTTTAGTTAATTTTCTAAATTTTGTAATAGATACTAACTCAATACCACGGCACATACTAATTTCAGTTATCAGTACTGACAAAAAAAAAAATGGATAAGATTCAGGTAGGATGTAGAATTTGATCATTTTTCGGATTTTTATATCAGATGAGTTACACATAAAATAATTTTATGCTAAAAAAAAAAATACTTTATCAATCTGATTTTCGTCAGTCTTAGGTCTGGTGTTCTGAATTTAGTTGCAGATATTTAAATAATAAGACCATTATTTATCCATCAGGAAGTGTGTATATATATATATATATATATATATATATATATTTTTTTTTTTTTTTTTTTTCTTTTAATCGATCACTTTATAGGTAGATCTCAATACTTGTCTAGTCTTACACCTTTATGTGTATTCACTTAAACTTCTTAATGAACAGATGCAAATCATTTATTTAATCTATTTATTTTTTTTTATTTTTATGCTTTATCACTACAATGGTTTGCCTATAAAATTTATTTAGCGTTTAATTTATTTATTTATTTTTATGTTATTGTCTTAGCACCAATATTGTAGTATTGTAACCCAATTACCCATCTACTTTCGTTAATACATCCTAAGAGCTATGTATATACTTATTTATGTATATACTTATTTATTTATGTATATACTTATGTATATACATTATATACTTTATGTATATACTTATTTATTTATGTATATACTTATGTATATACATTATATACTTTATGTATATACTTATTTATTTATGTATATACTTATGTATATACATTATATACTTTATGTATATACTTATTTATTTATGTATATGTATATACTTGTTTTATTACTTATATTTTAATTATTCTTTAATGTAATAAGTCTTTTGTCCAGATTTATTGTTAATTTGTATGAACAATACTGTAATTCTTAATGGACCAAGTCCCAGAATAAAGATGATTGTCTATTCTATTATAAATACAATTTTATTTATATTTAGCCTGAGAGGTATTATTTGTAATTTTAACTATACTTGTGCTCCCGAAATTGACAAAATAATATTCTTGATCCATTTTCTTCAAAGTATGATGATATTACAGTTATAGCTTCGATATTTTCGTTTCTAGTAACGACGAAATCCGATCCTTTGTCTCGCAGCTATGGGAATCCGTTTCAACTGCAATAAGCGTTTTGGCTTATTCATCCATCTGTTGAAAAAATTCATTTAATCACAAAACCGTATTGATTTCAATGGGATTAGTTTTTGTTAAGATATATGCTGACCTATTCGTTGCTACTGTATAATAAAACTAAAATAAAAAGTGTTTCTGATGGACAAAGGGGACTATAATTTATGTGAGATGGTCATGTGGAGTTTTGCCATCCCTTCTTTCACCGATCATCCCACTCCCAAATTAATCAACAGTTTTGTTATAATATTTTTGTTAATATATTTTGAAATAAAGCGATCAGCTCAGCGCAATCCATCAGGAAGTCGCAACACAACAATGGATGCCTTATTAGTTAGTAATAGACTATACGGGAGGCCAAAAAACAGATGGATAGATTGCATTAACAAAGATGATGTAGAAAACTGGAAAGCAATAGCTCAATACAGGCAGTAGGGGACAAGGATGGTTAATGCGTTCTGTAAAGCCAAAAGAAAAAAAATTAAAATAAATATCATAAAATTAGTTCATTTTGTGGTCTAAATTAAGGTTGAAATAATCATAAAGCAGAAATATATAAAACATTTCTACCTAACCTGAAAATAAAAATACGAAATTTGCCACCCTGTAAATTATATCAACCACACATATAGTTACATACCAATATGGACTGCAACCTAAAATTAGTCTTAGTTTATTTATTTTTTTTTTTAGAACAATGTAGCTTTAAAATGAAATAAAACACATAAAAATAATATTAATGGCCACGATATTGACCTTACCAATAATAAAAAAAAATGTGTGCGATTAGTACCTGAATGAGCTTTCATTCCTGCCGAAAGCACATTCAAGTGCTTATGGCTTACATTTTTTTTTTTTTTTTATTAATAAGGTAAATATTCTAATATCAAACTGACCAAAACGTTTGGTAAAATATCTTTCAAGACCTTTTTTTTCATTATTATTTTTATTGTTTAAACCCAAGGTTTCTCTATCGTTATGTCAACAACTAGGCTTAAATGGAAAATTGAGAAAAAAAATTAAAATGAAATAAAACATAAAAATAATATTAATGGTCACGATATTGACCTTAATAATTAAAAAAAATTGTATACGATTAGTACTTGAATGTGATTTCAATAAAGCGCAATCTAGAATTATAAATTTCTACTTTAGCGAGCTGGAGTTCTGGCAATGGCCAGATTCTCCACTCAAGCCTTTTATGTCTGGTTATATATAGCGCCTCTGCTCAGCCTCCACTGGTTCTTAATACCAGTGATGCGGCTAAGTGAGAGGCGCTGGGATCTCCTACAGTCCTGCCTTTTAGTTCCACGAGTTGGGGGAAGGCTTTGCTCGGAGATCTTGAGTGAATGAATATTGTACAAAAGCATGTGTGTATTTAAGTAGTTATTTTTGTTTAGTTTAGCATCTTTTAGTTTATATACATTTACCTTTATTATTATTATTTTGCTGTTTGTTTATTGTGAATAGTTCCTACTCTTTATCACTATTACTATTTTCCTTAAATGTGAAAGATTGTAATATATCTTAATAAAGAATTATATAAAAAACTTCAGCGAGAAAATAAATTCAAATAACGTGGCGAATGTTTATTTCCAAGTGATCCAATTTTTTATTATTGGCATTCTGGGCCGACCAAAAATGAACCTCCCCGGTTAACAAAATGTTGGATTGAAAGGATCAATAACAATAGAGCAATATTGTTTTCACCGAACACAATGAGAGTCACGCGGCCTCAATTCTAGAACAAACTGGATCTTGTAAGCTTTTAAAACAAAATATGTTAACAAAATCTTCAATAAACTGTGTGGTTACAGCCAGTGAGGTAGCAAGAAATGATGATGCCTGGAGCCAAACTCGGATGAGACCTATTTTTCTCATTGGGGTGAAAAAGTTTTAAATAGAATAAACAGTAATTTTATATTTCTGAATTCGTTTATCACTACACCAAAAAAACTGAAGATCCAAGTTTTATTCTAGGTTCAATCAACCCAAAGTGATAAACGCCGTCAAAACTATTATTAATAAACAAATTGTTTCGTCAAAACTTCAACTTAAATGTAAATACATTTTATTTATTTAGATATAAACATTAATATATAATGGTGTAGTGTATGATTTACTATGAATGTTATTACATAACGGACTATTAAAGTTACTTGAATTATTAGCTATTATTTTTGCTGCATACACTGATCTAATTTTCTATTTTTTACTGTGATCTATTCCCCCATTGTACAATCTGTTGGATTTAAATGGCGTGAATCTATTGAAATTTATGAGAAATGTTTTATTATTCATTATAACTGCTGTTTGCGAGTTTACAGCCTGCATAATAACTCATTGTGTGATAAACGGTTGTATATATTTTAATTATAAGAAGACATTATAAAATCATATCAAGTCCGTAAATTTTTAAAAATCTATGATGTTCTTTATGAATTTTTGTTTTTGTCAAAAAATCAATTGCATGTTTAATAAGGTCATAATAATTGGTTACTAAGGCCTCATTTATTCTACTTTATTTGTTCAGTATTTATCATATTTATATCATTAGAATATATTTATGTAATAAACAAGCGGCTTTTCTGGTTGACAGTTTTATTTTTCGGTTAGGTAAATCGGTTTTCAACAAATAAATTTTAATATAGATATATCGATACAGTCATCTCTCACACTCGACATTGCCCTGGCGTCATAGGCTATTCCATCTCTCCATCGTAGATCTAGTCTTCCAGGCCTCCTTGTTTCATGTATCTTTCCTCATAGGATCTTTTTGGGGACTTCTAGCCCCAACATTCTTGGGTCCGTATTATAAGTGCACTTATAGGAGCCTTCCTGCACTTACATACTTTGCAATGTTAGGGTCATCGTATAAGCTATAGATTTGCTGGTTTGTTCTTCTCCTTCAAGTACCATCAAAACAAGTTCTTCCAAACATGCACTGCAATATTTTACTTTCAAATATTAATATACTTTGCTCGTCCTTCTTGCTCAACGTCTACAATGAATCCGCCTGGTCAAGCGAGTTATCCTGTCACAATACTTTGGTTTGGATGCAATTGGTAATAAATATTCAGGACGCAGTCTTTTTCATTTTTTTATTTATTCAACCCAAACATGTACTTAAGTACTTGAACAACCTCAGTGCTCAAACGACGCCCTGAAGATGACCCACATGTTTGGGCTGAAACTATGGCATAAATAAAAAGGCTGCGTTCTGAATATTTTCCATCCATGATATGTAGAACAGTCGACTAACTTCCTTCAAGGATTTGGTTTGGATGCATTTATGATGGATCCAATTTTCTTTCCAGCACATTCTAATGCAAGGAATGCCCCATCTACTACCGTCTGGGACCTTCGTATTACGTCGAGGCCGTTGGCTTATACAATAATTTGCAGGATTTGTTTAAGATTGTGTCAGAAGTCTGAATCCCAGAATCCCTTTCAGCTCTCTCCAGATGTTTAACAAAATACATGGAAATGAATCTTCCTGCCACAGTCCAGCCTCTGATTTAAATACCTTGAAATATTATTTTTTTTTTTTTATTGAGAAAAAAAAATAATTTGCTAAATTAAGGGCATTGAGTATTTGGGATGTATGAAACAATCATACCATTTATACAATAAAATAAAAACAATAGAAAATTATAACAAAATAAAATAAAAGAAAACTTGGAATAACAGAATAAGTCAAACATGAGACAACATTAAATATAAAAAAAAAAAATTAAAAAAATTCATACTTACGAAATATTATTTTATATTCTCATTTTGTATTTTTTGTACTTACGATATACCTCCCACCATCCATTAAAGCATTGCAGAGTTGCACAAGTTTCCTTGGTATTCCAAGTTTCATAATCGCCAGGCATAACTGATCTCTGCTACCACCATATGCAATCTTAAAATCTATATGTTTATGCAGAGTAGTGAATTGATATTCCAGAGTTTTATAAAGAATCTGGATTAAAGGCTAAACACTTGATAGGTCGTTCCCTGTACTTTAGTTCAACTAATTATGAGCCCATGTCATGATCATTTACCACTTTACTTTATCTGGTTTTATAGATGTGTCCTATATGAACTATTGTGTGCCTGAATATGTATATTTTATTTAATTTATTACTAAAAGACTAATCAACTTTAGTTAAACAATTTATTCTTTCTGTTAAGCTTTTTGAAGGGATGAAAGCCTACCGGGGAAAGGACGGCAAGATCAGGATATTCAGGCCAGAACTGAACATGGCGAGGATGAACTTGTCTGCAAGTCGATCATGCCTCCCACAATTTGACGCCGAAGAGATGATAAAGTGTCTATGCAGGCTCATCTCCATCGACCAGGAGTGGGTACCACACTCTGAAGCGGCGAGCCTCTACATTAGGCCTACCCTCGTAGGGACAGAGGTGTGTGAGTACTTTCATTTTTTTTTTCTTTTAACAATTCCCGAAGGAAACAAAAATAAGATGGTAAATGGACATAAATGGTTGACCGTATACTAAAAGCATATATGAGTGGCTTCATACCAAAGTCGGACGATTGTCATTTTTTTTTTAAATTTGGGTTATCCTACCTTACTATAACTAATGTCCAAGAGACAGATTGTTGTAAAACTTAATAAATAAATTTTTAAAAAAAGTTTTAAAAAAATTTGAAATATAGCTTCAATTTAAATCAATTCTAATGATTTAATTTCATCATTGAACATATTGGTGGATTAATTGAATATTGGTGAATTAAACAGTCAGAAACAGTTTAAGTTGAACCTATAATACATAAGTTGAATTTTTCTTCACTTTCTGAAAATGACCAATGTCCATCTTTGATATCAAGTCACTCATATGATTATCGAATGTATTGTTAAACAAAACATTCACTCTATTTACGTCTTAGCTAAACATCAGATCACTTCCGTAGAAATCAACTCGTTTTATCTAATTCTAATACTATTTCCTTTGTTAATGCGACGTAAAGGGAATTCTAAAAAGAATATTAAGGTACCGGTAATGGACATTTCAAGAAAAACTTTTAACATTAATGTAAACAACAACTTTAGTTCTGATGGTGAATTTTCGCAAATGGGTTTAATTCTTAGCAAATTTAGTCTCTTACCCGTTTCATTTTTTCGATAGAGTCAATTAGTTTATTATTCATGAAAAACTTAGGACATTCTGACAGCGTATCTTGCGTCAGTAATGGACACCCAGGTTTTGGAGTTAAGAGTTTTTTTTATATAATTAAAAAAATAACACTGTAGACTGTTTTAAACAAGGAAACTAAAGATGAATTAATCAAAATTTCAAATCTATCTCCTAAAGAAAACTGGTAAGGAATAAATGAATGAATTATATTTAGTATTTATACAATAACACAAACAACAAAAATATCCAAGCACAACAAAAATATTTATGGCTTCTGGTTCTTGAAACCGTTAGCCGCAGATTGGCCTTGGCAAACAAGTATTATCAATACAATAATACATACTAAAACCTACAATGTCGCTAATAAACACCAGCGGATTCAGGATTTAATTTTGGGGGGGGGGCTTCAGCCCTTTTCATATATATAACGATAATTAATTTTAAAAACAACGAAGAATGAAATTAACTACCTATATGAAATGGTGTTTAAGTGATTCTTGAAGTCCTGTTAAATGTAATTACACGAACAATAATACTTTAAGAGATAGTTTTTAATATTTTTTTCTATAAGACATGGTTATATTTTACCGTTTTGGGGGGGAGGCTTCAGCCCGAAAGCCCCTCCCTCCCCCGTAAATCCGCCTGTGCTAATAAATACAATATATCAAGCCATAATCCTAAAAAATACAAATATAAATTCACAATACAAGAATAATATATAAATACATAATTCTATATATTATTTCTAAAAGGTGTTTTTTTGTCGGTAAGCCATAACTTCGTCAATTCTTCATCAAATCCAATGGTTGACCACTCATTTTGAAAATATTCTTTTCCTTCACATGCGAAAAATAGTCCTATTCCACCGGAATTTCTGGAAACAAAGTTATGAAGGAAAATAAACTTTATTTGCGAATAACTCAAAAACAATGCATTTTTTTATAGTACCAATGATCATTACAAATATTACTTAATTACTTACAAAAGAAATTGCAAAAATCGGACAATTATTAACAAAGATACAGTCCATTAGTTTGGTATATTTAATCATTTATTTCTCTTTAAAGATACTGCAGTTACTGTTCTTCTGCCTTTTTTTCTAGCTGATATATACTTTATTATTTCTTAAAGGCATTTTTTTGTTTGTACATTTTATATTTTTTTGAATAATTTAGAAAATCCCATCATTGAGGCTTTATTTTGAATGTTACTTTTTCAGTCAGTGTTTAGAAATACGCTCTTGAAAAGCAATTTGTACAAATATTTTGGTTTATTATGTTAAACGGAATATTGTGATCGGACCAAGAAAATTAATTAATTCCTTCCTTACATAATACATATAATCTACTTATTTTCATATTGTTTTGCTATTCCTTCACTAAAGAAAATTGTCTTCGAATTATTGGCACTGGTCAACTAGTATATAATTTATTATTAGTTTCATAATACATCCTACAGTTTAATTGTATTAGTTCTCCTCTGGCATTAAATATCAATTCTATTATTGTTTCATTATGATTGCTTGTTCAAGTTGTAAGGAAATAGCCCGGAAACAAAGATCCATTCTTGCACAATTAAATAAATCAACCAATCGAATATTGCGGCGTGACACAACTTGAGGTTCAGTCATCACCCTCTTAAGTGTTCTAGCTTCAAATCTACTTTTTACACTCATTTGGACATATAAAGCTTACAACCTAAAAAATGTCAATTACTGGTACATTTCATGTCAAACTAGTGGTGAATTCAAGATTTAATTTTCTGAGTGCTTTTTTTTTTTTTTCTTATTTTCTAAAATGGTAATTATCCGTATAATAATGATGATTACCGTTATAGAAAAGAAGAAAAACAAATTGGTGCGTGCATCACAAGACTTTCACTTACCACTCTCTTCTTAGCAGAAATAAATATTTTTAGACAAAGGGGAAGTGAAAGTAAAAAATTGTACTATAGTTATTACATTTATTTGTTTAAATACCCTTATATATATACAAGTTTTAATTTTTATATCGCTGTAATCCATACAATTAAATATTAAATAATAGCAACGATAGCATTTACGAAAACGGGATAAGTAAATGTACATAATATTGCCGGAGTCCGTATTATATTAAGCTTATGTTACGTATGGAAGCCTATTGTAATATTTCGTGCGAGCTCAGGTCAGCTCGTATTCCTTTGGTTCATCCATTACAACTATTATCCGTTACGTTCTATTTCTCCTTTAGTTAGTTATCAAATTCTTGCATATTTAATATTTAACTATTTTTTGTATCAAAGATTAATGTGAAATGGTTAATTATTTTAAATAAAAACAATTAAAGGTACTTTAGAGGAAGCTAATATTGAAAATTATCCATTTAAGCCCTGTCAGAGAACATGAATTAGAATAAAACCTACATCATATTAAAAACTGTTTAATAATACACTGATATACTGAGTTTAATCAAAATCGTAAGGGCCGTTTTCGAGAAAATCGTAAAAATGTGTTGATTCGATTATATTAAGTACAACTACCGGTTTGCCAATTTTGACGAAAATGTTGCTGTTACATCTAAGGCATACGCATAATGTATAGCTAATGTAAATATTAGGTTTGGAAACATTTAGTTGGTCACTTATAAATAGAGATCAATTTCTATAGTAGAAATATTAATAAATAAACTCAGTTTCATTATCACTTTAGATGATTTCATTTTATTTATCTTTTATTTTTAACATTATTTTTTCTAAATAAAAGTGTATGTCAGATGATAATTTATCAAATCGCCTCATTTTTTTTACACAACTTAAGGTGAACTTAACTCATTTCGTATTAAACGTCAACATAGTTAAGAAGGACTTAAAGCTTATAAAACAAGTTTTTTTTATTTAAAAGGGGTTGTCGGCGGTATAGTTGGAAAGTGATAAAAAGAAATCGCGAATAATTCATGATTTTTTTAAAACAGAGCTTAGCTTTATTCATCTTCTCAGAAGTCCTCTTTGAATGGTTTTATAAATAACAAAATCTACTTTCATTCAGAGTAAATTTTGTCTAGTTTAATGTAAAGCAATTTTGAAGTACTTAAATAAGTTATCGCTTCCTATTCAATAAAAAATATGACTTACTAAAAAATAAACACGAAACTTGAATTTACTACATTTCGCTGTATATTGAACAATTTTTTCGTAGCTCTTAGGTCTGCTATTGTCCCTTTTAATATTGCTCTCTACTAACGGAATACCCTGTATGTATATATATATATATATATATATATATATATATATATATATATATATATATATATATATATATAATTATAATTTTAAAATATATATTGTAAAATAAAAGTTGTATATAAATTAATATACAAATTTTAGAATATAAATAAATAATTAATATAGAAATAGTGAAATATTAACACATTTTTTGTTAACACAATTTAGTAATTAGCACATATATATTATTTAAGTTTTTGTTTGAAAACAACACTATATACGTTTTTTGTTGTTCATATGGATTGATGTTTCGTTTGTTATTATTATTTTTACTTTCAATTATCTTAGTAATATTAGTATCAAAATTGTATTTTAATGCCCAGCTGAGTCTTTTTTATTGGCCGGTGTTAAATTTTTTGATCTTGTATTTACATTTTTTTCTATATTGGCTGAATCGGTTTTTTTTTATTTTATTTTTTTTATTTTTTTATTTTTTTTATTTTTTATCTCTCATCACAATTTTTTTTTCAATCTGTTTGGTAGACAATATTCATTTTATCATATCGATTAATTTTTTTAATGTTCTATTTTTTATATTGTTCATAATTTAATCAAAAAGAATGTTTTTACCTTACAAAGTGGCAAAACTGAAAAAATGAACTAAATTGAGGTATTTTCACAAGAAAAAAAATTCCTCTGAAGGTATGTCCGCAAACGCTTTGTTTACGAGATACTATTCACACCCAAAAATTTTCGTTGTAATGAATTATTTATGTCATATGAAATAAATAAAACCTATTTATTTGTCCTAACTACTTCATTAATTAAATGTAAACATTAACATTCATATTAAATGTTGTTCAAAGTGAAAGTAGGTCCACAGACGCTTTGTTTAGAAGATGAATTAGATAGAATACAAATATGGCATTTTATCCCTAACTGTATAAAAACTATTGGCAACATAAGGATTAATACTATTTGGAATTAGCAGCATTGGGAACTCTAAATAACATTTATCAGTTTGTAAGAGGCTATCGCAGAGTACTCATCATTATGCCTTCCATTTATACTAATGGTGAATATATGGTGTTTGTGTACAGTTTTTGCAATGGTAATGCTAATGGTGCTCGTCGTGAATATGCCAGCTGATTTTCGAATAGGAAATTACCAAACAAGTCTATCTTTAGCTCCACGTTTCAACGTCTTAGAGAAACTGGTATATTTGCTATAATACCACGTGCTGATGGTATTTCGGCCCTTTCACTTTGTCAACAACAGCCCAAATCACTCTGAACCACATTTAATATGAATTTATTGTTTAAGTTTAATTATTACAGTAGTTGGAACAAATAAATAAGTTTTATTTATAACGTAATAATTTATAACAATGAAATTCTTTAGGTGTGAATATCTCCTAAACAAAGCGGTTGCGGACATATCTTCAGAGGAATTTTTTTTCTTGTTTGAGGTCCTTAGTTCATATTTTCAGTTCGGCCACTTAACCCTGAAACATCCTGTAAATATAAAAAGTTGGAAAAAAATAATTACATTTCTGGAAGCAATGAAAGAGACTTTCAAGGTTTTTATGAACTTTCTGTTGCAAATACAAAGTAAAACGAAACCTTTAAATATTCCAACGCACTATTCAATTATTTTAAATATAAAATTATTAGATAATATCAGATTGTTTTATATTATTTGAAGGTCAGAATTTTTCACCAACGACAGTTTCTATATAATTTATATTATTTTATTTTATATCTTTTATCCAGAGTAAAATGTTAATGCGTAGAAATTATGTAACATTTATGAATTTTTAACGTTATTTATTAATAATGTGTTGTAATTAAAGAGGAGCAGAGACTTTTAGAGCTCAAGGTACCAGGTTCGAATCCGGCTGATGACTAGTGATTTTTCATCAGACGCGGTCGAACCTGGGGCCGGGAGACCCTCCTGGGGCAAACTCGGCCTCTGTTAATTAAAAAAAATTACGTAAGGGGGAAAACCTTGTGATTTTGAGCTTGATAATGGCCCGTCACCTCCCTGCACAACCGTTTGCCTTGTAACAGTACTTTCTCACATTGTACTGATCCCAAAGACCCTTCATGGGTTGTAGTGGTACAGGTATTTTTTTTTTTTTTTTTTGTAATTGTAAAGATGAATATGGTGAAGGTCACCAAGAGCTTCTCTAGTTAAAAGAAACTAAATAATATAATACAAATTTTGGAGAGGCTGTCATTGGCAAAAAATCCGGATCTTCAAAATCTGATAAAATTTTAAAAAAACTAAATAAAACAAACGTCTATCCGATTAAGATCATTTGGATGCAATTAAACTAATGAAGGGATATTAATGATTGTATCATTAAATAATTAAACAGTTATTAACTATGCGTTGTTTTATTACAGCCATCGTTAGGAGTTGCTTCTTCAGAATCTGCCCTACTCTACGCAATCCTCTGCCCTGTAGGGCCGTACTTCGGAACCTCATCGGAAGCAGAAGCCGTTTCACTTTTAGCGGATCCAAATTTCATCAGGGCGTGGCCAGGAGGCGTTGGAGACAGAAAAATGGGATCTAACTACGCACCTACAATTAAAATTCAGGTAATGATAATAACACCATTATTAGAGTGGTAAAATATTTTATGTCCTTTATGAAACCCGAAATTCTATTAAATCCAATAAAATTTTATAATAATTGTTTCGAGGCACTGATTTATAAAAGGGAAAACTTCAGACATTTGCTGAGAGCGCCAGTATTTGAGGGGCGGGAAAATTTTAGGTGTCAAAAAAATAGAACAAACATTAAAAAAAAAGAAGGAATTTTTAACTTATGAAATTGACAAATATATCATCTTTAATGACTTATATAATTTACTTCATTTGTTACGTATCATTACATATTGACGATTCGGGATATATTTCCCCATCATCAGGACCATACAGGAAAACAAAAAAGACAGGAAAAAATAATACAACCCTATATAACAGAATGACAGACAGCAAGAAAGTTAAACTAGCCTCATACAGTGGCAATAAATTAAATAAATACATGAGTAACGCGAAGGATAAATTAAAAACATTTGACTAAAAAAATGCAATATACAAATTAGAATACCAAATAGTATACATTGGAGAAACTTTAAAAAATAAAATAAAAACAATAGTTTCACTGCACTTTTCAAACTGCAAAAATATAAATAGTATTAAAACCACTGTTCTAGCACAGCGTAACATAAAAAGGCAGTAATTTTCAAAATTTAACGGTCTACAAATAATAAACATTGAACAAAAAATAAAACTAATAGAAAACTATTAGAAACCACCAAAAACATTAGTATAACAGTAAATTTTAAAACAGATACAAAAACATAGTTAAAAGAATCAGACTCTTTTCTACACTGCAAGGATCAATTATAAATACATTGTTACGTAATTATAAATTACTATTATTTAAAGTTGAATTTAGCTTATTGTTGCCTTCCCCCTTTTGCAATTATATAAACACATTTCATCCTTATTAAAATTAAACACAATTAGGGGCAACATTCATATTGACAAACAATAAATTACATTTAAGAAAATTAAATTATAAAGGAAGGAGATGGTTCGGGGTGGCGGTCATAAATAGGTTAAATAGTGGCAAAACTATTTTATTAAAAGCCAACGTTTCGATCCGACTTTGCAGATCTTCTTCAGGGCTAGAACGGACAAGATACAAAAAGATAGAGAATTGTGGAAGTTACATAATATTTAGACAATAAATAATAAAAAATGTGAATAAGGTAATTAAAATTTTAAATAGTAAGTAAGAGTGTATATAACTCTGTTTATATTTTAATTTACTTACTGTTTATAATTTTAATAAGCTTATTCACATTGTTTATAATTTTTTGTCTAAATATTATGTAACCTCCACAATTCTTGTCCGTTCTAGCCCTGAAGAAGACCTGCAAAGTCGGGTCGAAACGCTGGCTTTTAATAAAATAGTTTTGCCACTATTTAGCCTATTACCATCTCCTTTCTTTATAATGCAACGGTCTACTATTAAATATACAAAATTGAATTATCTTTGTGTTTTGTACTTTCCCTTTCTTTTTATACCCCTTTATAGACTATTTATTTGTTAATGTGATTCATTTTAAGTGGTTTATTGTATCTTTATTCTGTTTATAATGCCTGAGTGTCCAGGTGTTTGTTATCTGATTTAAAATCTACTGCCATACTAATGTTTTTTGGTAATCTGGATGGCATCTAATAGTTTTCTATAATTATTTATTTGTTCAATGATTATTATTTGTGGACTATTAAATTTGATATTGTCCTGCATTTTTATGCTATGATGTGCTAAAGCAGTGGTTTAAATACTTTTTATGTTTTTGTAATTTTAAATGTGCCGTGAAACTGTTGTTTTCAGTTGTTTTTTCTAAGTTTCTCCAATGTATATTTTTTGATAGTTTTGGCATTCTAAATTGTACATTGAATTTTTTTTTTGTCCAATGTTTTTAATTTCCTTATTATTTTATTTATGTATTTTATATTTTAAAATTATTGTCATTGCATATGGCTAATTTAACTTCTTTCAAGTTATCTGTCCGGTGTGTGAGTTATATTATAGGGTTCAGCCCAAAAGCCCCTTCTCCGTAGATTCGCCAGCGGTTCTGATGATACGAAAACATATCTCTAAACTTTAATATGTAATGCTACTTGGCAAATAAACCAAATTATACAAGTCACCATGAAAGTTATATTTGCTAACCTAACTAGTATATACTAAAACTTTCCAACAAATGAAGGTTTTTTTTTTTCTTATTTCTTAATGATATTTACAACTGCATTAAAGAAATACATTTAATAAATTTGAACAAATGTATTTAATGACTTGAAAACACTTGCTGAGTAACTACCCAATGGTAGCACTCTAATGATATGTCTACATTAGGAGATCACGGGGCCATCTTCTTTTCAGACGCCTCGGAGGGTTATGAGGAATTGAAGAGGAAGCAAGGTTAGAAGGATAGGTATCTGGATTGGACCGGATCTGAAACATAAGAAACATTAAGGTCATTATGGATGGTTTTATTTGTAACAAAGTAGGGAGCATTGAGGATTTTACGAAGGATTTTGGATTGGATATGAGAGGAATTCGATGGTTTAGTGGAGCCCTATCGCTCAACTCCGTAAGTCCAAATAGGTCTTATTATAGTCATGTATATGAGTCTTTAGTAATTAATTGGAAGTTTGGAGCGCTTGTCTAGTAAGTGCTGAAGTAATCGGAAACTTCTAGCGGTTTCTTGTCGTTTCAGTCTGGTATGACGATTCCAAGTTAGTCGTTTGTCCAGATGGAGTCCTAGGTAACGGATTTGTTCAACAGGAATAAGTGAAGTGTTGTTAAAGGATACTGAAGGACAGGAAGTCATTGGTTTACGACGAAGGGTGAAGGTAATTTGATGGGATTTATTGGAATTTATTTTAATTCTCCAGTTCTGACTTCAAGGTTTGTGATGTGGGATTGAAGGGTTTGGGATGCAATAGATGGGTCGTTATTAACTGATAGGATACATGTGTCATCAGCATATGTGGTGATGACAGTGTTGGGATGGGTTGGGATGTCAGCTGTATAAACTGTGTAAAGGATAGGACCTAGGATACTACCTTGAGGAATACCTGCAGACTGGGAAAAACGGGATGTATAGACATTGTTGTGATTTACTTTAAAGTATCTATCAGTAAGGTAGGAACGGATAATGAGGAAGTAGGTAGATGGTAGGAATTTTCGGAGTTTGTACAGCAGTCCCGGGTGCCAAACTCTAGGTAGTGGATTTGCTTAACAGGGATAAGTGGAGTATTGTTAAAGGAAACTTTAGGACAAGAAGTCATTGGTTTACGTCGAAAAATGAAGTTAAAAGAAGAAATCAAGTTTTTAGCCAACCTATGACAATGTTTTGTATTTTTTTTTTAAATCATTCCAAATCTTGCAATTTAACTTTGTCGAACTTTTGCAATTTATTTGAAGAAAACATTTAGTCATACAAAATGTGGGCATTATGACATTCTCAGAATTAAATCTGTATTAGTCTGACGACACGAATTATGGGCGTTTCAAAATGGCTCTCTTTTCATTGGTCGAAGATAATTTTTTTCAAGTCAACATGAAAAAAAATAATCACCACACACCCAGATCCAAAAAAACGTTATCCCCGAAGCGGGAGAGGACGTCGCACGAGAAGAAGAAATTTAAAACTCACATTTATTCCTCCCGATAAGGCACTTTTGCAAATAAGGAAACAGTTAACACCAATGAAGGTAGTTACCATTAAATACTTTGTAGTTAATCCTATCAGCATAGATTTGAGCCCATACAACAAAACTGAAGGAATTATTCGGCCACTCATAATACGAATCATGTATTTATTATAACCTATTATGTATTATGTATGTATTTATTATAATTGTTATAATAGACACATGAGGAAAAATAATATTTTAATCCAAGGGCACACCGACAGCCTCAGTACCGCCCTCCAGTACGTGTATCAAGCAACTGATTTTTTTTATTTAAGCCCCAAAAGTTAAATCCTGGTTCCACCACTGGTCTACACTCTCAAAGCATGATTAAGATGTATAAGAAAAAAGAAGGGATCGGAACGTTTACAAATAAAAAGAATAAACTCCAAATTTATGTAGTTTATTAGAATTGTAATGACCTAACTCCCGAAACTAATAATTATTGCACAATATTATATTTAAGTGTCGATGAAAAAAATAATTTAACTATATATATATATTGTTATATATATAACAATTATATATATATATATATATATATATATATATATATATATATATATATATATATATATATATATATATATATGTATATATATATATATATATATGTATATATATATATATATATATATATATATATATATATATATATATATATATATATATATATATATAACAACATGCAACAAAATGAAAACACCAATAAAATAAAATTAATTCAATACTAAGAAATGAATTCCCAACACCAGAATTTATGCATTATTGCTGAATTATTCATCTTTTAAAACTTAGGGAAAATATATTTTTAAAAACCTTAAAGAAAACGTTTAACAAGATAAAATAGACTGCCTTGATAAGGTCTAAGGTATTATTGATAAATATATTACTCTTATCTGCCCAGAGATGTCACATTTTTTTATTACGAATTATTTATTACCTCTTTAAAATTTCACTAAATTGTATGGAACTGAATCTAATTTCTTGGTTTACGGTATTCACTATTGATTACCTGATATTACATTAATCTACATAACAATTTTCTGAGTCGTAATAATTTTCAAAGTACATTTATTTATTTTTATTTGCCCAATAAAAAAGTATATTACTCGATTATAACCAACAAAACATTAATTTACATGTTTCAGCAAGGTCAGTTTTGATTTATGCCATTGTATTTCTTGAATATAGATTTTATCATAACAATATAAGAATATGGCGAATTTAATAACATTTTGTGAGTCAGAATAATTCTAAAAATTCAGTTATTACTTGTTGGGAAAGAATGCCTGAAACTGAGCGACACGCTCCACAAAATAATAATAATAAATTTTAGTTTAATAACGAAAATAAAATATTGTAAAGTATAAAAAAAAATTATGTTGAAACGCTTTTAATAAGAAAAAATAAATGTAAAAAAAATAATCCATGTTAATGGGTTAGAGAGGGGAACACATTATCTTCATTTATAACAATTATTTTCGGTTGCTAAATACACAGCGTACTTACCAATCGATATACAGCACCAATAAAAAATATATGAGTGCAGTAAATTATTTTTTTTCTGTTCATGCAATTTTTTTTTTCATAACATTCAATTTCCTTTTCCTTCCCCTCTCTTTCTTTTCTTTCTTTTCACACTTCTCATATAGTTTTTCTCTTTTTTCCTAACCCAATTCCTACTTTCCCATGACAAAAATTAAAATTTTAAAAATTTTACAATAAAAAAAGGTAAATAAATCATTATTTAAAATTGGAAGAGTTTTGCTTTTCATAAAAATCCAGAAATGAAGGATTTTTTTTTTTCTAAAAATTAATAATGATAAGACTTTGTTTCACCTGAAATTTTCAAAAATTCATTATTCCTAAAAGAAGTAAAACAGTCGATCAGATGTTTTTGTTGTTCACGTCAACTTAATGTAAGAATACCTGATATATTATTTTCTTTATCATTTGCGGTTTTATTTTATTTTTTTAAATGGTCATTACTTTAGAAGAAAAATACAGAAACTACATGACATGATGCTTTAAAATAATAAAAATAAAAATAAAAAATAAGCGAAACAATAGGAATAATAATGCTTTTAGAGATACATTTTTTAATTGTTAGTACTTAGTAGTGTTGCCCATATGCGAGACCGGGACGAGTCTTGGTCTTGCAAACGCAGTCTTGGTCATGTTCTTGATCTTGCTCAAGAGTCTCGCAGTTACTTATTAGCTTATTACTGAAGAGATATTACTGTATTTTTTTATATAGGAGAAACCTAACAAAGCCCGAATGAAAAATTAGAGGAGTTAAATGCAATAGTATATTGGTTATACCAATTATTAACATATAGTAACTAAGATTTTCAAGTATTAGTAACTGTTTGGCCTTAATTTTTATTCAAAAAATCGATTTTTTTTTCCAGTCCTAGTCTTGGTCTTGCAACAGTTAGCTTGGTCTTCAAAGTGCAAGACCTTTTTTGAGCAACACTAGTGCTCTAGAAGTAGTTGCTGTATATGGATTTTAATTTAAAAATAAGACATATTGTGATTGTTTATGTATTAAGCTATAATCATTCAAAGAAACAAATGTAAGCCAATGAGAAACGTTATTTTTCATTTTTTGAGGGGAGGGGGGTCAGCCCGGAAGCCCCCCTGCTTTCATATTCCAGAAAAATCGAGAAATTTAAACTGGACTTGGGTTAAAAAGAATTAGTTACATTTTTAAATAATTATTTTTTTTAGAAATATTATAAACAGACATTAAGGAATGTATAACTGACGATATAATAAACGGTACTAATATTTTTTTTAAATATATTAAAAAACAATAAGGTAATATTAATTATGCAATCATGATAATACATAATATTTTATTATGAGTAAAGGACACCAGGGACTCATGTAAAATTCTATTGCATAAATTAATATTTATATTATGTTATCATATCATTATACTCAAAAAATTTCATTATAATACTACATAATGCATTTAAGTTATCTCGAAGATGATGAGTTTATCACAGTTACTTAAAAAAAATATGATGGATCGTTTAAATAGACGATTAAAATAAATTATTTTTCTTTAGTAAACCATTCATAAGTTTTTTATTTATAACCTTTTATCTGTCATGTTAAGAGCTAAAGGCTTATAGAATTTTCAAGGTGTTTCTTGTCACGTTATATAAATAACCATGACAAACGATAGGTCTAATGAAATCTAAGTTTTAAATATTGTTCCAAACATTTGGATAATCTTAAATGTCCTAAAGTACGTTTATTTCCTGTATTATATCATTAGAGCACATGTGGGAAATTCAGTTTAATCACAAGAAGTTATATTGTAAAACAGAATTCTATGACCTGTGAATGTTTTTAATACTTAATTGTATTATTATCATATAAAAAAAAATAGATGTTTTATTTTATACCATAAAATGTATGACTATAATAGTTCCTTAATTTCAGTTTATGTAATATTCACTCAAAAAAAAAATAAATAAATAAATGATCTAAAATACATCTTCAATATATATCAAAAATATGAATCCGAGTCGGTATCAGTTCCAGAAATTAATTTTTTGGGGGAGGGGTTTCAGCCCGAAAGCTGTTTATACATACATATATATATATATATATATATATATATATATATAATATATATATATATATATAACGATAATTACTTGATAAGAAAACGAAAGCAAATAACTACCTATATGAAATGGTGTTTAACTGATTCTTGAAATCCTATTTGAAATGTAATTACACGAACAATAATACTTTTTGAGTTAATTTTTTAATATTTTTTTCATAGAACATGGTATATTTATTAGTTGTATATGCATTATATTTTAAGGGTAACAAATATGGACACATGAAATAAAACTTTTTTTTTCATTTTTGAGACCGAAAGCGTGCATTTTTCTTTCGCTCAGTTAACATGAAGTGGGGTGATAAATAAGAAAGTATTGCTGTGATCGCCTTACACAAAGTTGTACAATGTAGGTCATAGATTTTCAACTCTTTTTTTTTTTTCTTCCCTACCTCGCCTTTTAGGCTATACGGGATTTTCCCGGACCGGGGGTGAGGGCGGGGAATTTAAAATCCCCTCCGGCACCGAGACGCGAACTCGTACTTTTTAAATCTTCTCAAATCTGTAATCCGGTTGCCAGGCAACTCGCGGTGCTGTGCACATGCTTTAGCCCATTCGGCCACCGCTTTGGGTATCAGCCGTATGTTCGCGTACCGCTCTATAAAGAGATATAATGAGACATTATCTGTATGTGACAGACCTCCCTGTACTGTGAGAACGGAAAATGCAGTGGCTGCTCGAATCAGAAGAAGAAAAAAAAAAAGCAGTTCAGACTAAATCAACATATGAGCCTTTTAGTTGACATAATATCAACATTTTTGAGTAAAGTAATTTTAGTGATATTTCTAGTTGGAAAATTTATGATATCTGTACGGACAGAGAGTTAGTTAATCCCAGAATATGTGATTGCATGTGTTGAAATATAGAACTGTGAATAAAGGTTTAAATTTCTCTGCTAGATATATCACTAAAAGTAATAATAAAAAAGTGTTGAAATTGGAGTCATTCCGCCAACTGAAAAGCTCATATGCCAGATGGGATATTTTTTTTTTAAATGATTCGTTACATTTTTCTATTTTTTATTTTTTATTTCTTAATGACATTTACAGCTGTATTACATAAATACATCAAGTAAATTTGGACATAATAGATATAATGACAATACACTTGCTGAATAACTACCCAATGGTAGCACTCTAATGATATGACTACATTAGGAGATCACGGGGCCATCTTCTTTTCAGAGGCCTCGGAGGGTTATCAGGAATCGAAGAGGAAGCGAGGTTAGAAACGAGAGGGTTGGGATGATTTTGAAGTTTATTATGGAAGGATAGGTATCTGGATTGGGCCAGATGTGAAACATAAGGAACATTACTATCTTTATGGATAATTTCATTAGTGACAATGTAAGGAGCATTGAGGATTTTACGAAGGATTTTGGATTGTAAGGATTGGATGCGAGAGGAATTCGATGGTTTAGTGGAGCCCCATAGCTCAACTCCGTAAGTCCAAATAGGTCTTATTATAGTCAAGTATATGAGTCTTTCGTAATTAATGGGAAGTTTAGAGCGTTTGTCTAGTAAGTGCTGAAGTAATCGGAAACGTCGAGCGGTTTCTTGTCGTTTCAGTCTAGTATGAGGATTCCAAGTTAGTCGTTTGTACAGGTGGAGTCCTAGGTATCGGATTTGCTCAACAGGGATAAGTGGAGTATTGTTAAAGGAAACTGTAGGACAGGAAGTCGTTGGTTTACGACGAAGGGTAAAGGTAATTTGGTGGGATTTATTGGAGTTTTTATTACATTATTAAATTATTTGGATTAGTAAGTGTTTTTGTAAAGCTAGTAATGGGTCTCCGCTTTAAGTATGGTTGAAAATATTTTTTAAAATTATTTGTAGATGTGTGTTTTATAAGCTAGGTTTCATGCATCGGGATTTTGGTTTGTAGTTAACGAGTAGCAGAGTTTTTTTTCAAGGTTAAGGTGCATTTTGGCATTTCACAAAATGTGGGGAACACAAATATTTATTTTATTTTAAATGTTTTCCTGTATTTTAAATGTTTTTTTTACTTATGCTAGTGTTTTTGTTTCTTGTTTTTGATGTTTTTCATCTGTTGTCGGTAACAAAAGAAATATGTAAAAAAGTTGGGCTCAGTTAAATGTCGCTATTAGTTAAGTTGCATAATTGTGTTTCCCATAGCTTTTCAAAATGTCTAAACGCAACTTATAAACTTACTTATTATTTTATATTATTTACATATTTAAATATTACTTAATTCCAAAACATGTCATGTAAGTTTCATGATTTAATAAAAATGATCAGTTTAATATTTTTAAAAAATAAATATATATATATTTTTTTTTGTTTTTTAATTTCAACATTCCTGTTTTCGAATTTTCCAGGAACAAGCTCATAAAAAAGGTTACCAACAAGTTCTCTGGTTGTATGGAGAAGACAACCAAATTACGGAAGCTGGAACAATGAATATATTCGTCGTTATAAAGAACACAAAAGGGGGTGAGTTTATTCCTTTTTCTATATACTAAAAAAAAAAAAAAAAAGTAGTGGTAAAGAGATTGTTTGTCGTGATTATAATATGAGGTGAAATTAAATACTACGTATTATAAAAGATTACGCCCACGTTTCGACCCACTTTGTAGGTCTTCGAAAGGGAGTTGTATCAGGAACTGCTGGAAGCAGTTGGGACACTGGTAGGCCGCAAGTCTCAATAAAATACTGTAATGTATAAAATACTAAATAATATATAGTATTTAATTTGACCGCACCCCGACCAACTTCCTTCTCATAGACAAAAGGTGAAGGTAAATAATGTAGTAATTACTATTAATTAAAATCAGCATATTATTAAATAATTTTATCATGATAAGCCTTATTAATTAGTTCGATTCTTTAATTTCGCCGGTTTATTACAAAAAGTCATTAAGTATTTGTTTTGGGTAAATTGCACAAAAGAGGAAGGGTTTTTCGTATAGTTTCATAAAGATATGCGAAAAAAAAATTATATCTCCCTCCTCGGATAAATTCTTTTATTAATCATGTTTTTCCTTCACGTATTCTAATTCCTAGAATTATAAAATGTTCCTAAATAGAATAGAAGTAAAAAAGTTATCCATATGTGCTTGTTTTAGGTGCAAATTTTTAATATTATAAAATAAGGCTGTGTTTTATTTCTTCACCATATTTATTTCAATTTACATAGCTACTTTTCGGTCGGGAAGCCATCTTCAAGCCATCTATAAGATATAAGAATTTTATAATAAAAAAGTTATATGAAAATAACAATATTTAGGAACATTGGAAAATGGAATATTCCTTAAGGAGGAAGATATAGTTTTCTGCGCATACGTTCCATAAGAAACTATAGTTGTTAAATAAATAATATATAATATTTAATTTGACCGCACCCCCGACCAATTTCCTTCTCATAAACAAAAAGTGAAGATAAATAATGTAGTAATTACTATTAATTAAAATCAGCATATTATAAAATAATTTTATTAAGAAAAGCCTTTTTAATTAGTTCGATTCTTTAATTTCGTCGGTTTGTTCCAAAAAGTCATAAAGTATTTGTTTTTGGTAAATTGTAACAGGAAGGGTTTTTCGTATAGTTTCTTAAAGGTATACGAAAAAAAATCTTTCTCCTCGGATAAATTCTTCTATTAATCATGTTTTTCCTCTCACGGATTCTAATTCCTAGAATTCTGAAATGTTCTTAAATAGAATAGAAGTAAAAAAGTTATATGAAAATGACAATATTTAGGAACATTAGAAAATAGAATATTCCTTGAGATGGAGCAGAGTCCAGAAACGATAGATGTGTAAAAGAAAAACATGCCGTAAGATGGGGGTAGCTTTGGGACTGGGTGGGTAACTTTGGGACTGGGTGGTTAACTTTGGGACAGCGGGTAAATTTTGGTTTGTGGTGATTCCGGGGTTGATACACTGTGTTGGTTCAATCACCATGGACAGCGCTAATACCTTGCGGCACACTACTCTTAAGGCACTTGTTTTATGAAACCAAGAATTTTGAAAAAAAGCAATAGAAATAAATAAAACCTAACTGCGCAACCAGTGTAGTGAACGAGGGTTCTTGAACTGCCGCAAGGAAGTAGCGCAGTACATGGCTACACAAAGCACATTTTTGCAGACAGAACCAACACAGTATATCCACCACGGAATCACCACAAACTAAATTTTACCCGCTGTGTCAAAGTTATCCCATCTTACGGTAGTTAATAAAAGAATTTACTCCAGGAGGAAAATATAGTTTTCTGCGCATACCTTCAAGAATGGACAAACCGGCTTGGACAAACGAAGCAGTTTATTAAAAGCCCCTCTCCCTCCAAAACAAAGTGGCTGCTGGGTCTAACTAGGAAAGAAATCCGACTCATCATCGGAGTACTAACAGGCCACTGCAGACTTAAAAGACACTTGAAGATCTGTGGGATAGTGGATGATGAACTCTGTAAGCTCTACAGAAGCGCACCTGAAACTGCCCTTCACTTCATAACGGAATGTGACCAATTTGCGTCACTCAGATACAGACTTCTGGGAGCAGGCATAATCCAAGTTTGCAAAGCTGCCTCTATAAAATGGTCCAACCTTTTAAACTTCATTAGAAGAACAAAAAGGTTTGAGACAGTATAGAGGTACAATAGACAAAAGCAAACAGGACCTATAGGCCCACTTGCTGGGTACGTGACTGTATTTAAATACCAAGTTAAATTATTATTGGTGAAGAAATAGCTGATAAGTTGGGTATAGAATTAGTAGATAAGTTAGAAAAATTATTAGATAAGTTGGGGATAGCAGTAGCTGTAAGAAACACAAATAAAAAAAAAATATTTTGTGCCGACGTTTCAGGGTCTAATGAGGGCTGAGGAAAGGTAATATAAAATAAAATTGGAAAACTATTATAAAAAGTTATGAAAACAAAATATACATATATTAGCTGCAAACGGGGAGGGCTTTCGGGCTGAAGCCCCCCCCAAAATGGTAAAACATAACCATGTTTTATGGAAATTTATTTTTAAAATACCTCTTAAAGTATTATTGTTCGGTTAATTACATTTAAAAGGACTTAAGGAATCACTTAAACACCATTCCATATAGGTAGTTAGTTTCTTTATGTTTTTCCAAAGTAATTATCGTAATTTTTGTGAAAAAAAAGCTTCCGGGCTGAAGCCCCCTCCAAAATTAAATCCTGGATCCGCTAGTGTGTACGAGTATTGTATTTCGTGAAAGTATAAGTAAAATACAATGATAAGTAGTATATTTCTTAAAATTTTAATACAAGAAGATAATGGATTTTGTGATAAAATGTGGGGGGAAAAAATCAATAAATTTAGACTAGTATAAGTAAGAAGTGAAAAATAAAATTAATAACTAATGAATTTAAAATATTTGAGATATGCGATATATTAGAATCTGTATAGAAAATTATAAAGTAACATCAACAAAGTAATAAAGTAATGAAATAAACAAAGTAATATTGTTGCCCTGATGAATGCCTGAAACTTAGATCGAAATGTCGGCAAAAAATAAAACATTTTATTTTTATTTGTGATTCTCATTCTGACCGCAAACCGCAGTGGTCTGAGGCTGAGATGGACAAATGCTACTCTGAGTTCCGAGTACCAAGTATTTTACTCAAATTGAATCAATATTGAGAATTCAATCACTATTTCAATTAATACATTGACATCAACTGAAGTAGTAATTAAATACTTTGGAACTCTTAAAACGGTCAGTATTCGAGTAAAATAATTGGTACTCAGTATTGAGAATATCATTTGTCCATCTCTGATCTGAAAGCGGCAAAACCCCCTATTTTCAAGGAATTATGATAATTAAAATTTCTATGTTTTTAATGTGTAACATAGTTAACATATTCCTAAAGTTTAGGCACGAATAAAAATTCTAGTTTCAAAGATTTTCAATGAAACATAAATAAAACGTCTGTCCCTACCACACTAATCAAGCATCTTATTACAAATAATCAAATTTATTTAAGGCATTTTTAAAAATAAATCCTGAAAATAATTTTTTGTTGTATAATTTATTCCAATGAGTCAGAAAAGTTATAAATTATAAAATTTCGTATTTTTTACAGGATAAGTACCTTGAGCAATCGACCCAAGGTCTCACTGTAATTAAAATACTCTTTAAACCCTGTGCTCAAAATGAATACATAAATCAGTTGATGTTACCGTAATTATCTGGCAAATACAGTCAAGAAATCTATACAAAAACGGACAAAGAAACATCTTATATGTACATAAATAAGTTTATACCCGCCGTGACCAGGTTAAGAATAGGACACACGAACCCATGTACATCTCATCACAAAGCAACCACCACCAAATTGTCAGCCAACAGTCAACCATATTTTCCAAGAATGCACTTATTATACTTCAAGCCTAAATCGATTATCTCTAAAACCGGATATATTAACAGTATTAAGCAACAAAGAATCAAACATAAAAACCGTGATAAAATTTCTTAAAATTCATAGACTATTAAATAAAATATAAAAATAAATATATAATTTTTATTTTATTGTTCTTTCTTTTTTTTATAATTACTCTAATATATTTATTTATTTTTTATATTTATTCTAATATATTTATTTTTTTATATGTTTTTAAATATCGTTTTTATTTATTACTCTATCTATTATTAATCTTTGATTATTCATTCTTTTTTTTATTTCTCCTCTAAAGATTTTACAAATATATTACCAACTCATAGGCGTCGATGACCCTAGGGTTTTACGCCTTAAAGCCTAAATAAACAAACAATGAGTTTATACTTAATACAATTTATTCCTTTCCGTCATAGAAAACTGGAGATAAAGTATAAAAACAAAAAAAACACTGAAAAAATATAGGAAGGAAAAACTTTAAGAGGAATTCAAAGAATTTTGTGCCTCGAAATTCATACTAGGATATTTCTTTCAACTCCCTATCATTTAATTTGTTTTATCTTCATTTACATGTGGACTGATTTGCTCTGCTTCTCTTATCACAGTTTTTTTCGCGTCTATCTACGTCCTCTTGATAGTAATAAAGGTAATAGATATTTATAATTGATTCAGTAAATGAACTTGTACGTTAAATTTTCATTTTTACAAAATAATTACATGCAAAATAAATGTTATTTATCAGTAGATAAATTAACGATTATTATAACGGTTAGTCATACAAAAATGGTTTTAGCCTATATTGATTCAGAAGGCCCGACATGCTATAAAACATATTGATTTTTAATTTTTTTTTTTTTGCATTTATAATGGTTTATTGATAAATATTACAATCTGTCTCAATAAAGGACATTTACAATAGAGTTCTGAGAGCACATTCACACCATATTTACAAATTAAAAAATATAAATAAATAAAAAAAATAAGCTAACTTCAAATAATATAAAGCTACAAAAGAACAAAATAAAATGATTTTTAAATTAATTACCTAAATTGAAAGTTTACCTATATGTTT